AGAAATAACATGTTAACAATATTGAGTCTTTCAATCTATGGACACAGCATATCCCTCCATCTATTGAGGTCGACTTTAATTTCTTTTAGCTATGTTCTGCAGTTTTCAGTTATAGCACTTGCACATACTTTGCCAGATTTGTGTCTAAGAATTTCACATTTGAGGGTATTATTGTAAATAATATTGCTTTTCATTTTAATTTCTGATGGTCTATTACAATTATATAGAAATGACATTGATATTGTATTTGTTTTTTTTTTGTATTGCAAACTTATTAAAAGCATTTGTTACTTCTAATAACTTTTTGGTATATTCCATCAGATTTTCTACTTAGACAATCATGCTGTCTGTAAACAAAGACAGTTTTACTTCTTCTTTTCCAACCTGGATGCCTTTTATTCTTGCTTTATTGCATTGACTAAAAGATTCAGTACAATGATGGATAACTGTGATGAGAGTAAAGCCTTATACCTTATATTTGGAAGAAAGCATTTAATCATTTAACATGACTTTTGACATTAACTATAAATTTTTGTAGACTTTATCAGGTGAGGAAGTTTCCTTCTATTTCTAATATGCTAAGAGTTTCAATCAGCATTTATGTTGAATTTTGTCAAATGCTTTTTAAGTATTTATTGAGGTGATACTATGGCCATTCTTATTTAGTTTCTTAAAATAGTGAATTATACTGACTAACATTTCAATCTTATAAAAACTTTTCATTCCTAGGATAAATCTCTTTTATGATGTGTTATTCTTTTATATATTGGTGGATTTTATTTCCTAAAATGTTAAGAATTTTTACATTTATGTTCATAAGATCTGTTCTTTTTCCTCTTCTTCTGCTTCTGCATCTTGTAATGTTTCCTCTGGTTTTGTTATAAAAGTAATTTTGGCCTCCTGGAATGACTTGGGATTATTTTTATAAAAATGTGTAGGCAAAGGGTATTATTACTTCCTTAAATAAATTCAATGAAATCATCTGAGCATGTAGTTTCCTTTATGTAAAAGTTTTTAACTGCAAATTCAGTTTATCTATTTCTTTTTGAAACATGGTAGTTTGTGTCTTGTAAGGAAATTATTCATCTTATATAAATAATTGTTAAATGTATTGGAATAATGTTATTTATATTGTTGTGTTTTGATAATAACTGTTTTAACATCCTTGCCTACTAATGTTATCATTTTTGTCATATTTGGGTCATTTTCAATTGATTGATTTTTATCTTCAGATGGATTGATTTTCCTGCTTCTTTGAATGCTTCATAATTTTTTTATTGGATGAGAAGTCAATTGGGAAAATGTTATGTACAAAAAATTGAAATTATAATGGAAACCAGAGAAATTTCAGTTTTTACTGAGTAATTAATGAAGTGTGTTTTATTTTCTGTGTAAGGAGAGATCACAATGGTTGGGAATCATCAAAAAACTTACAATAGAGGTAGCACTCAGATATGTTTAGTAACTAAACATGATTCAGACAGCTAAAGATGGGATATGAGAAAAAAAAGAGTTGAATCTAGGATGATGTGACAGTGTTTGAGGAACAGTGATGAAATCAGTTTGCTTGGAAATTAGGGTGTACGTAAAAGAAGTAATGAGAAATGTGTACATTTTAACATTTGACCACATTATTTGCATATGTCATGCCATCCCCAGAGACTGAAAACATCTTGAAGATGGGTACTATGGTGCATACACAGATGCCCGTGAATTTATATGTATATGTATGTGCATGTGTTTTTGTCTGTATATATCTTTACATATACATTCATATATATTCTTATATGCATTCATATACAGTTTTTACACAGCCCCAGATACAATAATAAATACTAAATAATTACTTAACTGACTTGGGTTTTTAACATCTTTTGGTGATATTATCCACTTATATGTAGCTACTCTATGCTATTCGATTTTGCTACCAAGCAGAGTATCCAGTGGAGTCTCCATTCACAGATTGCTGAACCAGAAACTGCTCAGGTTAGAACACCAAGTACAGGTATTTAACCTAAACTTTGGGAAGCAGAAGGACATATATAGGCCTGGTATTAATAAAACTTTTTTATTCAGCTTGCCTACTCCAATGAAAGAAACCATTTTATTTTCAGCACATGCATTTGTGCTTTCTTCTTCATTCTGAGAATTTGCCCATAGGATGGCTTAGGAATTAGGTAAATTTTCTATAATTATCTTTTTAAAAAAAAAATTAAAAAATTTCCCAGATACATGCAGTGAAACCTTAATGCTTTGGAACCCACCAGTTTAATATATATAATCATTTCAAAATGGTTTATGTAAATGTTTGGCATATTATTCTATAAAGAAAGTGAAATAATAAGCTAAATAAGATTGTTGGGGATTATTATATGCATAAATTGATTAAAAAGCAAATCCACAATTGGAGTAATAATTATATAAATTATTCCATTAACCTGCTGTTATAATTATAATCTTTTTATAATACAAAGATTTTTCTTTTTATGTAAATAGAAATATGTACTCATTAGAGGAAATTTGGTACATATAGGCAAAGGAGATAAAGAAGAAAGAAATCCTAGTAACCTAAAATTATATATTTTCTTTCAGTATTTTGAGTTGACATAGTTTGCTGGGGGCGGAGGATGTACATATGCGTGTGTTTGGGTGGTCATGGTTATACAGAATTATCACCATATCTAACTAGATTTTCTAAGTGGGTGGTAGAAACTTTTGGAGTATTTTTTCAGAGTGATTTCTTATGTCAGATTATAGATTTACACTCCTATTAAGATATAACAGTTCATAATATTTGTTGTTTTTGTTGTTTTTAAGTCATAACAAGATGTCTTGTGAAAGAGCATGTTCATCATGCAAGTATTAGAGCCCCTTGATGTTACAGGTTTCGTCATGTGTGATCTGCTAATTTGATAATAGTCTAATGATTTCCCTGGGAACACCTGCCAGCTATCATGAGTTAGGAAGTACACACATGAATAGTTTCCCAAGGGCATCCCCACTCATTTTATGTGACAATTTCTCCATTCTTCAGTTCTTTGAGTCATTTCTTATTCTTTTCATTTATCAGTTATGATTGGGCTCAGCTGCATATAGAAGAAATCTCAAAATAATAGTAGCTTAAATACAGTTTTTTTCTCTCATGGGAAATAAGCTCAGAGGTAGGTGATTTCACAGCATGGGATCCAGGCTCCTTCCATCTTTATTCTCTGTCATTCTTAGTGGGTAGCTTCCTTCTGCCAGGTCACTTCATGGTCCTAGATGGCTGCTGATCCTTGAGACAATTCCAGGCAATAAGTAATGGGCAAGGGACAAATGAGAACTGCTTTCCAGCTGAGTTACCCTCTTCAAAATAATTCTTCTGAAACTCTTAACTCAACCACCTCTATTTATTCTCCTTGGTCAGAATGAAGTTTCATGACTATACTTAGCTTCAAGAAAGCCTGGAAAATGTAGTTTTTTAGTGGAGAAAATTGCTAACTCAAAAATAGAATTCATTTATTCATAAACAAGGGAGGCCATGTGAAGTACTTATTGGTTTTAAAACTATATCATAAAACCAAATTCAACCAAGTTGTACCAACTAATTTTCACAAGATACACAAGTGGTATATTTTTTAGCCATTGCAGAGTTGTGAAACTCTTTTACTTTCATACATAAAAGGTAATATAATGTGACTGGGTTATAAATATTACAAAATTTCAAAACACTCTATCTGTTGCTCCATTATTATTATAGTCAGTGTTTTATGCTTCAAAGCCAGGCTTATTTTTTCCTTTCTAAGTAACCTGTTCTAGCTGTTATTTTTGTTTTGTTTTGTTTTGCTTCATCTGTACAAATAAGACATTTATTGGCACATAGAATTTATTTTACAATGTCATTGTCTGCTAATATTTTATCATACAGAAGTATATGGTACAAAAAGTAATTATTTATAGTGTCTTGAGTAATAAGTCTTAATCTAGGTATAACTTTTTTCCGTGGAGAAAAAAAAGTTTCTTATTGATGGAGGAATTTCAAATAACCTTGCTAAACTTTTTAACTTCTCTTTATACCCTAGCCTTGGTATTGCAAATCATCCAAAGTAAATTTTCAAAAAACTTGCTACACTGTCTCGAAGACAGTGCCTAAAAGTAGATATACTCCATTCTCCCTGAAATACTTTATACGTTGGCTCTCGAATGGAACTAAATTCTGTCTGCTGACTTAGGAAAATGGATAAATCGTCTTTACATTGTTTATCTACAGTATGTACAGAGTGAGAAATTTTTTTCCTCCCTACTATGGGGGGCAATATCTTCAGAAACACTTGATTTATAATTAATGCATAAAGTTTCTAAAAGTGTTAGAAATTTTTGAAGCAATTTGTATTATCTTACTCCTTGAGATATCTATTGCTGCATAAAAAATTAGTGGCTTAAAACAATAACATTAATGATCTCACAATTTCTCTGATTCAGGAATCCAGACATGGCTTAGTTGATCCCTATGCCTTAAAATTTCTCCGAGAACTGAGACATATCATCCCATGGATAAAAACAAGAGAAAATATTTTATAAATCTGTCTCAGGTGAAAAAAATTGCTGTAAAAACACATACATATGTTTTTTTCTCATCTCGCCTATATTTTCTTGAATCTTTTGCCTTTCATTTTTATTTTCATTGCTATATACAGTGAATAATTACTACAGTAGTGGTCAAAAGAGTACACTTTAAATATTCTCTTAGTGCCAACTCTGAAGAAACAGAAAAGCCATAGAATAAATTCTAGTGTTAGGAACATACTTTTATGAAAACATCTATATTGTCTTGAATTTTCAGAAAGACTGTCCTTGAAATATGGTACCTAGACAATCAAACATTTTTCTATTTAATGACCAAGAAAGATATGTTAAAAATGTTACTTGATATATATATTTAATATTAGACTATTTTCCACATAGTTATAATAAATCTCTTTTTATTTTTCTCTCTTTTTGTCTACTTTTTAAAAAAATAGACTAAGATGCTTAGTGAAGCAGCTGGAAAAAGGTGATGTCAACGTTGTAGACTTAAAGAAGAACATTGAATATGCAGCATCTGTGTTGGAAGCAGTTTATATTGATGAAACAAGGTAAATTTTAACCTCCTCTCTCTTTTATCTTCTTTGCCTCTCTCCCCTTTTCCCTCTTTTTTGACTTTCCTTTATCTCAAACATGAATTTTGCATATCTTATTCGTGAAACCAAAATCAAATCTTATTTAAATTTAAAAAGCTTCTCTTCATGTAGCCACTTAACTATGCTCTTCTTAAAAACAAAACAAAACAAAAATACAAATACATAATTTAATCCAAATGCTTGAATATCAAAAAGTAGTCAAATAAAGCCACAAAATGAATAAATTAAAAAGTCTCCTCTCCCCCTACCCTCACTGTCCTTAGGCCCATGTGTTTACATGTCAGAAACAGATGTATGCTTATACTCATTTTCACTGATGTAAGGATTTTCTTATTATCTCAATATTTCAGAATTCTTCTGAGAAAATTCCTTCTGAGAGAATACCCACACATTCTAATGAGATGTATCTATATATATCAGATCCTCTACACAGAGATTACTAAGGGGCAGTCCCAAACGTGTATTTGACCATCACCTAAATCTCATCAACTATCCTCATAATTAGCAGAGTGGTGAGGAGATTAGGAAATTGGGATTTATTTGAAGAAAGTTGTTAGCCTAGTGTTGTGGCTCTCAATCAGGCTATTTGCCTTTCAGGGGTCATATGGCAATGTCTGGAGACATTTTTAGTTTGGTTGATGAGGGTGTAAGACTGTAATGTGATGGGTAGAGGCTAGGGATGCTGCCAAACATCCTACAATGCACAGGAAAATCCCCCAAACAAAGAACTATCCAGCCATACATGTTAACAGTATAGAGGTTAAGAAACCCTGGCCTAAAGGGAGAACTGTGCATTTTCTTTCTTCTCTAAGGAGAAACTTACCCCTGACCTCAAGTCATGGGAGAGGTTCTTGAGGACATTAATGCTAATAGAAGACTAAGTGAAGTATGATAAGATGGTTCTTGGGAGATTTGACCAGTGTCGTGGAGTTCAGAGAGTACTGAGACCAGTTCCTGACTCTCACCTCACAAAGATAAAGGTTGCAGGCTGATTGAGACAACACTGAATTCACAGTTAAGAGGGACCCTGTGGCGGAAGGGACATGCACTTCCAGAGTTTAGCAGAGATAAGGCACTTGGTTTTTTCAAAGTCATGAGGCAGGAGAAGTAGAGGTCTTTTGAAGAGATTGACCAAAGAAAACAGTTCAGAAAGTAAAAAAGAGGCTACAGGGGTGATTGTTGATATAAGAGCCAGGGTAGAAATCATAAAAATTCAGCCCAAATATCAGAGAACATGTAATGTTTAAGGCACACTCTCAGTGTAGTGAGTTGTTTCTGAATGACCCACAAAAGCTATCCCTACAAAACAATAACCAGCATTTGGGCATTTGTCACACAGGTGATAACAAACACACCAGTTTTATAAAACTCTTTGACTCCTATAATTTCCTGCCTTCTCCCACCACATTCTGAAAAATGAGAAAGAACAGAGTGAGTGGGATGGAAGATGGAAATGGAGGATGAAGACATCCATCAGACCCCTTCCATTCTGCAGATGTCCATGCCTGGGTCAGGCCTGAGCTTGGGGAAGTGAAAAATAGACCAGAAATGAGATTGAAGTTTTTATATATAGAATGGGTCTTAAACACATTCTCTCTCTCTCTCTCTCTATCATACACACACACACACACACACACACACACACATGCACACACTGTTGTTTAATAGGTAATAAATTCACATGATTAAAAAATCAAAATAATGTAGACAGGTGCCTCACAAATGTCTGGCCTCCACTCCTGACCCAATCTACTCAAATTCCCAACTCATAAATTTCCTATGTATATTCCCAATGATTTATTACAAATTTTTATTTCATGTTTTTCTCTTCTTCATTCATGAAAGGTAGCAGACTATATGCACAGTTTTTCATTATGCTTTTTTTCTCCCTAAATAAGAAAACTTAGAAATCTTCCTGTATCACATACTAAACTATTTAATATCAAATAATGAGAATTTTTATTAACAATTGATTTTTAAAAAGGGCATTGCAAGGGCTATGTCTCTTCTTTGTCTGCCAAATGAAACTCCTCTGTTGAAGCATGGTTTAAAGTCATAAATTAAGGAAAAAAATCATGGGCTCACTTTTAAATTATAAATTCTGTGCAGAATTGTTTTCTTAGTTAATTTCACTGAATGTATATAAATGTATACGATTCTAAGTGAACAGGGATTCAAAGTGCAAATTTTTAAAAATCCGATGTTGCTCCTGATTTTCCTTATTTCTTTATTTTCACGTGTGCTCTTTATTGTTCACAAGTTGACTGAACTTAACATGGTAAAAGTCCTTGACATTTTATTTTTTATATTTATTTATACGACTAAAGAATTTTTATCTTTAAGAATTATTTAGATATTCACATTATTCATCTTATAATGACATAATGCTAACCATCTGGTTTGCCTGATGATTTGCTGTCTTTCATTTGGTAGATTATTACATGCAACATTAATTAATTAATATTTATTATTAATTCATTTTTAAAATTTTCTGTTGTATTTACTTTCCCAGAAACTTACAATTTCATAGATATTTTGTTAGCTTAGTTTCCCATGATTCTTAATGCATTTAAATATGTGTTACAATTCAAAGTATAGTTCCTTTTCATTTGAAAATCACTCTTTTGGAGAAAGAAAAATGCTTAACTGCTTCATGGTAAAATTGTGGAGTTTTGTTTTGTTTTCTTTCTTGGTCTTTACAAAGAACATCCCAGCTCTTACCACATGATTTCCAATTCTTAGTCGAACGATGCAAAATACCACTATTTTATTTTTAATGCTTCTGAGGCATCTTGATTTTTAAATTGGATTAATAATAATACCCCATATTTGTGCCATCTTCCAAGGTCTCTTAGTTTCATTACCTCATATTAGTCTTACCACAATTCTACGCAGTTGGCAGGGTAATCATTACTTTCTGCACTTTATTAATAAGAGAACTAAAATTTTTAGAAGTGAAATGGTTTGCCAAAGGTCACAAACTAGGCATTGAAAAACGGACTAGAAACTAAGGTCTGACTTCTTACTTATTGCTCTTCCCTCTCTAACTGGCTCATCTGCGAGTATTGCCGAATGGTTTTAAATAACCTCTGAAAGATTTAAATGACAACGTGTAAAACTTTTTGATATTTGGAATTATAAATTCTGGAAAAACAATACCTAACATTTATTACTAATAGCCTATTATTATGTTTTGGGATGTGCCACAAACTCTTTTAAGCATTTTAATACACTATTTCATTTAATCATCACAGCAATTTTATGAAATAGAAAGTTTATTCATTACCATTTTGCATATGAAGAAATAAAGTTACAGACAAGTTACATAGCTTACCCAAAATACCACAGAGAGTAACTCAGTCGAATGGAGTTAGGGCCTTGGCAGCCTGGCTCTAGGGCTTGGGCTACTAAGCGCAATTCTCCTCTGCACCCTTTAAATAACATCTGACCAAATGGCAATTTCAGGGACTTGTTGGAAGTTTTGATGAACACCCGTATGCTGTCAGAGTCATCAGATACAGTGAAGTGTAGACTGTGGTTGCTTCTCTTCCCAACTCTGCCTTCAGAGATATCACATTGGTAGCTTTAAATTGGGTACAGTGGGAGAAATTACAACAAATAAAAAAAATTTTTTTTGGAGAGTCGGTGGTTAAACATTTACCATTATGCCACTGATTAGACCTAAGGTTACCTCATATGTATCTTCTAAGACTGTGACTTCATGATGAAAATATCAGCTCAAGAAATTTTAGAGTAACAATACTTGATGTAGTTTGATTTCCTATAAACTTAGTAAGGCATACAGCAGTAAACTGAAGATATTTTTTGCTAAGATGTGTATACAATTATTAATATTGCATTTGCCTTAGCAAAACAGATTATTTAGAAAAAAAAGGAGCATTTAGTTGCTTTTAAGTTTTAAATTAAAAACCTGCTTACTTCTGAGATGTTTTTTAATGGAAAAAAATATCTCTTTCTAGAAAAAAAATGTTTTGGTGAATATTCCAGAGAGGCATTGTTTCGAAATTTAGACTGGGCTGCATTAAAAGGTCAACGTGTAATACAGCAGGATGAAACAGAAATTATGAATTGGTTTAACACCCCCGACACACACACACACACACACACACACACACACACACCTTTTCCTACTAAGCCTCAGTGACTACAGGGTTTCAGTTAGGAAAACAAATCAAAACAAAAATCTCTCTTGAAAGATGATTTGAGTGAGAAAAATAAAAACAGAGTTCTGATAGAATTTGAATTCTGACCTTGTCTGAGGGATTATAGCATAAGTCCCTGATGAATAGGACTGTTTGTTGGTTTTTTAACAAGACATTTTCAATTGCAAATGCCAATATTTTATGAGCCCTACTTTCAGATGTGTCCCTAGAGGCTATTGTTTTTCAGAGCTGCTCATTTGTAATCCAGAACATGTGGCTTAAAAAAATTTTGTTTGATTGTCTTTATTTGGATTGAGATACTGCCAAAGTAGCATCCTCGGCCTCATGAATTGCTTGCTATTCATGAGGGTAGGCAGCTGATTGGGAGGTATACTTTCAGAGATGGATATTATGCTTACTAAATCTGCCTAACAACATGATTTATAATTTCATTTTCTTAACGTGAACCAATCCAAGTCTTATGGTTGCCATAGTTAGAGCGCAGGCTCTAGGTTGTTCAAAGCTTGGATTTTTCCACTCAATAATCTCTTTCTTTAAGCAAGTTACTTAACTTCTAATATTCCCTAGCTTCATTATCTGTAAAATAAGAATAATGACAATGCTGACCTCACAGGGTTTCTCTGAGGACTAAATGTAACACAATATCTGACAGAGTGAAAGTTAAATTATAACCCCTCTGTTGTACTAACAAAATGAAGTTACTTTTGGGTACATAATACATTAAGATATATGATTTATACACCTTAATAAAAATATCAGTTTCTTGAGAGC